GTTTTTTTTATTTTGCTTAGTATACTTAATTTCTACAATAGCAGACGTTCTCTCTAAATAAGATACCTATAAACGTCACAACATTGAAGGTAGGTAGGCGCTTAAGTACTTACATACCTAATAAATAAACATTTCATCATTTTCTTTAAAGAGACTCGCCAGGAATAATACATAAGATCAAAATGATAAAAAAAAATCAGTTGTAAAATATATATACTTTATTTGCATTGGTCCGTCATAGAATTAAAATTTCTTGATTACAAAAGTAACACATACTCATTTCTTATTTCTAGTCTTTACTCAAAACGAATTATTATAAATATTTAAAAAATAAGTTTCCATTAAAATCCATTAAACCTAAACAATGTAGATATTTCTTAGAGGATGGAAAACTAAGAGATATTTACAATGGTCCTATAGTACCTGGTCACTTATGTCAACAAATTGACGTTGATCTTCATTTTTAAAGAGAAATAAATTATGAGTACAGAGGCAAATAGTTGTTGCTTGGCATTTAACAAACTATTCTTTATCAATTGGAATCGATGATTTCCCTGGTTCTAGGTACAATACTTTAAAGTCCAAAAAGTAACAATTTTAGTTTCAATATCCATATAAATAAGGAAATCCACTAACATGAGGCACGGCTGATAGTGGAACGAAAACAGGCATCATTCTTTCAGCTTGCAAATAATGTGTTCTTGTATGTTTCTTGAGGTGATCCCTTCTTCCAAACTTTTTCCCGCACGTCGGGCAAGGGTACGGTCTCACCCCAGAATGTATCCTCTTATGTCTAGTTAATTCTTCATTCCTTGTAAATGTCTTGCCACAATTTTTCTCATCACATTTATAAGGCCTTTCACCAGTATGAATTCTAATATGTCCCTTGAGTTGTCCATTATTGGAAAAACCAACATTGCAGTGCGGGCATTTGTACTTTTTGGGCCGTTGTTTTCTTGCATTTAGAAGTTTCGCTTCGTTCTCTTGTTGAAGTATTCTAGCGTATTCTAGTTCCATTGCGTAGCCTTGCGCTAGAGATTCTAGAAGTAGAGGATCTGTTGGTGGTACACCGAATGCTTGAGCAATATCCGCAGTCGGTAAGTATTCTGGTAGAAACGGATACATGTTTGGATGGGGCATTACATTTTGTGATTGAAGATTCGGTGCGTAAACTCCAGTATTGGTAGGAAAGGTTTCCATGTCCAATATCTTTGGCTTGATTTGGGGATTACGAACGCTTTTTTTAGGATCCTGAAGAAGCCTGTCGCAGCACATGGTTAAACTGGCAACTGGTGATTCACCATGTGTCGTCATAGTTGGAGACAAGCCGCGTAGGTCAGGTTTTTTATCGTCAGCTTCCTCAGTCGTGGTGGATACGGTAGCATCTTGATGGACTTCTGCTTTGTTAGTTTCAAACTTCTTGAAAGTACCTCGAATTTTTCGCAATCTATTTTCGCGCTTGCAGTCATCAATTCTTTTCTTGATAGCTTTTGTTTCTACGTCTATTTTTGTGGTTTTATCACAGGTTATATCAGCTTGGTCGTTTTTCTTGCTGTCACTCGCGTCCCAAGGCCTAAAAAGTCTCGAGAAACTCTGTTCAATGGATAACATTTTCAGAAATAAAAAGAAATTAACACAAGGCGAGGGTGTTGTCACACGCGATCGAAGTCATGGACTGGGACCCTTTTTCATTTCAACAACTTTTATATACATTCCTTTAACAATAAATTTAATAAAAGCGCCCAAAAATAGAGGGATAAATCCCATTGAATGGATGAAAGAGACGCAATATTTTTCAATTGTTGCACACTTGAATGTTGCAAAGATATTTTGTTGATAGCTACCCCATTTTGCGCAGCCATTTTGTTTCATAGGTTGTGAACTTTAAGGTATAATTTTAGAATATTTTGGGTGTCGTTAAGTCTTTTTTGTTGTTGTGATGTCATAGTGTTTGAGATAGGGGTGTGTATTGTTATTTATGTTGATTTTTGTGCGTGGCCGAGGGGCGGTATCGGGGGCCGAGCGTTCTGCTCGAGTGGGCGCCCCTGCAGCTGCGACGTTTGTTTTAATGCGCTCTCCGGTAGTTGCGGATCTTGACAATTTATATTTGGTTACATACATGGGTATATGCTGTATTGTGCGGCTTAGTTTATGGGAGACTTGGCAATTTTTTTGGCTCCCCACTGTTTAGGGGAATGTTGTAATTAATTTTTATGACGTTCTTTTATTAAATGCAACATGTACAGTTTTAAATTCAGTGTTATAACAGTAAACTTTTATTTTATTTACTAATTTAGCTTGCGACTGTAAGAAATATACTCAAATAAAATAATGTACCTCCACATATCTAAAATATTTGATTTGTAGATATACCTAATACTTACTTACTATGTCGCAGGACATATTGCTAACATCATAAACCAACTTTTGTTCCAGGGCTTTTTACAAAACGTATAAATTTAACAAAAATGAACTTCTAGGTTTTTATCGAACTATCTGAGACTTTTTAGATCTGTATTAGGTAGTAAGTTGTTTAGCAACACCTCCCGCGTGCTTTCTTTTACTGCCGCACAGAGTTATCACCGCTCAGAACGAACTATTTAACAAAAATATTTTTATTTTTGTTCGGAAGTAAAAATCTGATGAATTATGAAAGGTCATGGAACAAAAGTTGTTGTTTGTTGGTATTTTACAAGTAACCTTGTATAAAAGTTGTTTATTATCAGGACCATAATTAGCAGCTACAGTAAGTAGAATCTTTTTGCATCTTGTATGTTGTATAAAGTGGAGTAGATAATTCTCAAAATGTAGATAGATAGATAAAAACTTTCAATTTATCGATATAATAATCTATCTATCTAAAAATGTAAGTTTTTCTGGTACGATTTTTTTTTATAATATGAAGTGGCGGGACGAACAAGGCGTGAGCCTGGTGGTAAGCGACACGCCTGTCCATAACTGCAGTGACACTCACGAGCTTTCAATCGTAAAGGTCTGAGGGGCACTGTCATCGCACCCGTCACCCTGAGACATTAAGTTGACAAGTCCCTTGTGCCTGCAATTTCACCAGCACTCCTATACTTCAAAACCGGAGCGCAGTAACGGTCACATTACACAGGTAAACACTCCCTACTAGTAACACGTTGCTTTCACTTAGATATCCAGGCAGATTCGTGGTTTTGAACGCGCTCTACTAATACTACAAATAAAAAAGCTGGTTATTAAAAAACTCTCACGATCAATCCGGGGTTCGAACATGCACCCATTCGTTTGCGACGAGTAAGGTGACAGTACTTCCCCGGATGAACTCTTTCACATGGAGCTCTATTGCTACTAAAACATTTATGACAAACTCAACCATTACTCCAGTCCTAATAAAAAAAAATTCAGGAAATGCGGATTGTGAACTACACACACATCATTGGACCTAGATAAGCTCTGTATATTATAAGATAACTATTATTAAAATGATACGCAGTGGGTAATTATAGTAACCAATGAACCAGGGTATTCTTTTTTTATATACACAGGAAAATGCGTTACGCATACACCGCCGCGGGTGATGACAGGGCGCGGTTATGAGGGAATCTCCACCGTGGACTCACATGGCGATAGAAGCTCGCCCGATGGATCCTTAGAGGCCCACTAAAAACCTATGTATGCTCTCTCACCCACCGGTGCCGGCTTGTGGGATCCTTTTAAGACATCGCCACTCAGCCCGGTGAACCAGTATCCTAATACAGGTTCCGCTCTCTCACAATGGCCTAACACATTGTACGCCAATTCAGACCTACCGATATGAAGATCAGTGCCATTGTGATTGGAAATAAATGATTATTATTATTGTAAGTAATCCACACCACTTGCTAGATTTGTATAAAAAGTATAACGTCACAAACCGCACGATAGATCCAACAGATCAATCTAAACAAATCGAATTACGTGAAATATATACAATACATTTGATTACGACAACAATATGGGTAAAAATCAATGGACGTATTATTCCAAATCCGTATATCACCGATTTCGGAATCGGCACGATCTGTCAAAATCGGTAGATGATCGATTGGCGCATGGATCGTTTTTAGGATTCACGACTAACATTTGTTACTACAATTTTGATTCTTTTTGTCGTCTTTAGCAAATCGCAATAAAGAAAGCTTAGTGTAAAAAATTAGTTCTACAAATTTAGATTTTTAACCGACTTGAAAAAAGGAGGAGGTTACACTTTCGGCTCTATGCATCGAGTATATAGCCAGAAATAGAGACGAAATAAGGGCCATATATTCCTGGTAACAAATTAGCGATACAGCTCTTATAAATATCAACTCTCGTTTGCACTGAAATATATACGGGCCAACTACTGACCTGTGTGTACGTCTCCGTATATTCCAAAAAAATATTCTGTATTTATTGTAATAAAGATAATATCTGTAACAATGCCGTGCTGTTCTATTCGGTGGTGTGGGAAAAACAGCAAAACATCTAATTACAAAATAAACGGAATCACATTTCATCGGTAATTAAATATTAAATATGTAATTTTGCTGTTTTCGTCCATTATAGCAAAGCTCAAGTTAACTGGTCGATTTGAAGTGAAACAGTTGACGACACCCATTGACGAAACCCGTCAATTGTTTCGAACTCTGGCTAGCCAATCGGAGCACAGTTGTCACAATAATGATATGGCAGACTAGTTTTCAAACAAATTAAATGACATTTCGTCTCTATTTCTGCTTATATACTCTATGGCTGTATGTACCTATGTTTTCAAATATCTCCATCAATTGTGGACCGATTTTGAAAATTGTTTTTGTGTTTGAAAGGATGCACTCTCGTGGTGGTCCCATTGTCACCAAGTCAGAATCTGATGAGGGGATCCCATGAAAATCGAAGGGAATCCTCAAATTTTATAGGTATATCCGTGTATTCCCCAACTTCTCCATCAATTGAGCACCGATTTTGAAAATTCTTCTTTTGTTTGAAAGGGTGTATGGTCCCTAATGCTGCTTTGGGTTCGTTTCGGCTATCACAAATTACTAATTATTTTCCGCAAATAAAAGTCGACTTTTCACTTGACATAATACATGTAATCAACAAATCACCGTCACCATGACAAACAGAAAAGAAAATATAAAATGTACAAAGGAGTCCATGTGTCAAATAACAGTCCCATTGTTACCAAAAAGTTAGAATTCTTAAAAATTCTTAATTATACAGATACTGAATAGTTTAACAATAAAAACAGTAAAAACAATGAGTCTATTAGTAATAATATTAAGGGATCTTGCTCTATACGGCACCTATTGTTCGTCGGCTTTTGCGCCTAAGTCCCTGATCCCGGCCAACTATGCTATTGCCGGGAAATACGAGTACCGCCTCTCCAATTTGAAAATTCCAAATTAATCTTTTAGGATATGGGAGAGGCGAGAGTTAAAAATAGACATACGAAATTAGAGCTTTTGCACACCACATCGATTCCGACATCCGTCCGAAATAATTACTGTCAAATAAGTAATATACTCGACCAAATTAAAAAACAACGTCCTATATGAAGCTTCAGTCGCATGTCGAGTATTACTTAATTGACAGTAATTGTTTCGGACGGAGAACGGAACTAAGGCGTCTACTCTCGATCACCGTCCGAAACAATTACTGTCAAATAAGCAATACTTTACCAAATTAAAAGTTAATGTCAAGTATGAAGCTTCATTCGCATTATGCTTTTAATTTGGTCGAATATTACTTATTTGTCAGTCCTTGTTTCGGACGGATGTCGGACAGAGATCGAGAGTACCGAACCGAGACCCCAGTTTACAATCCAAGAAATGACGGTTCGAAATGGCATAGGGATGATTTTATCTTTAGGTGTGCGAGCGATATTAGTATTTTCTCGGATTCCAATCGGAATTAGTGCACAAGTGACGTCGGAAGTAGGTCCGGGTTTTCTAGATTTGTATAGTCTCAGACTCGCAACGAATATGAATCGGAGGCAGTGCGCAAATAGTATTTTACCAACAATCACGCCAATTGCCTGACTCAAACTAGGGACCTCCCTGTGCAATGAGATGAGTGTCAGTTTAACGGAATTGGTTCTAGCGCAACGCCCAGAACATCCACGCCAGAACCAACTTACAAAAGTTCATTTACCAATTCGGCTGCCGAAAATCGAACCCGAAATAAGGATTCCAGCGCCGGCTGATTGCTATTACGAGTACAAAATCCAGTTAAAAACTGTATTGTAACGTCTTTTTTTCTGACTACGATATACACGTCCAAGTACAAGTTATCTCAATTTTCTTATATCGCATTCTTTAGTATACTCCCTTACAAAGTCTGATGTCCACGGAATTAACCGTTCAATCACGACAAGCCCGCCTAGCCTTACAGATTGTACAAAATAATCGAAACTGTACAATACCGCTATGCGATTCGTCAAGGTTTTGACGTTATTTTGGGAGTTACACTTATATTCTATAGAAAATATTAATTTCGATTCAAATCTTAAGATCGCGCCTTTTTTGCACATGAGTGTTTGATCGATGGGTCCCGTTATCGTTTGCAATAATAGCTGTATGAATTGGAATGTAAACTGAGTTTAAAAAATA